CCGATTTACGATGCGACGGGTTCAAATCTTCGTTTGAATAAACTCTTCGCAAGCGTCGTTTCTAGATTCTTCTAGATGGTCCGATTCTAGCATACTCTAGAATGCTCCAGTCACTAGAACATTCTAGAATACGCTAGAATCTAATGCGTTCGGTAGCACGGTTATAACAGTATGTTAAAACCAAAACACGATGAGTGACACTGAACCGTCAAACATCAAGTAACAAATGGATTAACACTTTGATTTGTCGTTAATTGCACATGTCGGCATTCAGTTGGATATTTTCAAGCACACAGACACGCAGGAACCGCTGATACAAGCACGAAATGTGATTAGTTGCGAAAAACAGTTCCCTGCTGTCGCCTGATCTGATGCTGATCATTGAAAATTTAAAGGTGTTGGTAAGAAATTTAAACATCATCTTTATCATTACCATTTTGATTATCTTCTTCTTCGTCTTTGTCATCTTCTTCATCGTCGTCATTATCGTCGTAAACATACATGCATACATACACACACATAAGTGTGTGTATGTATGCATGTATGTTTATGTGTGTTAAATATGTTTGCATACATGTATGTCTGTATGTGAGTATGTATGTACGTATGTATGCAAATTATGTTATTTATGAATTGGCCACACACACACATTTACCTCGAATTACAGTCATTACAACATGTTTTAGAGGGGTGCACTCAGATTATATAGAGGCAAGGAGAAGTAAGAAGATGAAGATGATGGTGAAGAAAATGATGAAGAAGATGATGATAACGATTATGATGATGAAGATGATGACAAAGAGGATGATGACAACGATGATGAAGAAGATGACGACGATGATGACGACGATGATAATGACGACGATGAAGAAGATGACAAAGACGAAGAAGAAGATAATCAAAATGATAATGATAAAGATGATGTTAAAGAAGATGAAAATAAGGAACGCGATGACGAAGGAGAAGATGACGATGATAAAAATGATAGTTATTGTAAAGAATATGATGATGACGAACAAACAGATGACGATGCCAATAAACAATGATAATAACAAAAAAATGATGGTGACGACGATGGTGGTGAAGAAGATAATGATAAAAAAGATTACGATAATGAAAAATGGTTAGGGCAATGTACATAATAGCTGATGGTAAATGTGATGATGGTGACTTTTAGGCTGTTGTTTCATTCTCATGATGGTGGCGATAGACAAGGAGTGGATATATGAGTGGGAAGATGAAGATAGCATGAAAAAATTCAAAGTACCGACTGACTACCAGTTTGCATATCTGCCTACTTTTTCTACACATCTGCATATAGAGATCATTAATTTACATATGTATCAGGGGGTCGGGTTCACGCAAACGTATTTAGATAATAAGGAAAGTGATATTTTTCATAAAAAATTCTATGTAAAGTTTTCATTTCTTGCCTTATATTTGATTCAGTGTAGCATTTTCAAATGTTCTATTTTATTTGTTATTCGTTACTAAAACTGTGGTCATGTGCAAGCTCTTTCTTACTTACCTGATCTTCTCTTATTTTGGTTTCTTACTTAAATGCGTTTTCAGATTCTAACCATTGCAATTGCTGGATTGAACAAAGAATTCGTCATAAAAAAAATGATCAGAAATTGTTGGCCGATATAATTGTCCACTCCCAGTCGATATGTTTGTCTAAAATTGGTTTTAAATTCGTTAGAAATATTTAAACTTTGTTTACATAATTTTTCCAATTGATTTTTATTTTAAAACGTTGCCATTCGACGGTTTAAAGTTGCGAAAAATTTGGTTGGATGATTTATTGTTATGGAGGTGTGAATGTTTCGATGCGAGGCCAATCTGGTTTGTAAATTTTTGGTTTCTATTGCATGGCAAGCCGGCAAAATGTTAAAAAAAACTTGCGATCGAGACGGAAAAAAACAATTGTCAATTCTCAAGTAGGACAGCGATAGTGGTGGCGATTATCATTAAAAATGATAAAGTCAACGTCTATGCAAACAAAAATGATAAATGCTTATTAGGGTGAGTGAGGAACATTTATGCTTCATCATGTTGCTGTCATTACGGCTGATGCTGCAGCTTGCGACAATGACGACGATGATGATGTCTTTGATGATGATAATATATAAAAAAAATGATAATGAGGTCTCTTTCTTGAACTTGACGATGATGACAACAACGACAATAAAGCAATAAGAATGTTGACGATGACGACGATGATGACGACGAGATGTCCATATTGCGTCGGAGACAACATTGACGTCACAGAGTAAACGTCATTTAGAGGATGTAATAGGACACGAGACATTGAACAAGATGTTTAAGGATGGAATTAATGACGTCATCATCAAACGATGCTAGACGACCGGTCGTTCTTTCACTCTTTTTTTATCCATCTCTCTCTCCCGCTTTTTTTCTTTTATTTTTTCTCTATTAATTTATATCATTTTCACTTTCTCTCTCTATTTCTCTCTCTCTGTCTATTTTATTCATTTCCCATTTATTCTCTCCTATTTATCTTCTTTCTTTTTTTCTTTTTTTCTTTTTTAACCAGACCTCGTCCTCTCTCCATCTTAAATAATTTTCCCTTCATTCATTCATTCCTCATCTTCTGCCCTTCCTTTTCCGGTTTTATCCTTTTTCAATTTTTCAATTCAAACATTTTCTCTTATGGAGGCTTCACGTTGTGGAAATAAAAAAAACCTTTAATTTTCTATTTTTGTTCAAATATTTAGTATAATTAAAAAATTATATATATATATATATCTCTGTGTGTGTGTGTGTTGTGTGTGTGTGTGTACGTATTTACACACGAATAAGGAAGGAAAATTACATTGATAATGGATTGCAGCGTTAATATTTTTATTTTTATTATCACTTCGTCTCCTCTTGCTTATTATTTTATTGTTTTTTTATTATTAATATTATTATTTTATTATTTATTTATTATTTTTTATTATTAATATTAGGCGAGTGATGAATGAGACGGATAGGAGTACATTACGTACACGTGACGTCATCATCTCCATCATCTTCATCATTATCGTCATCTTCATCATTGTCATTCTCATCATCTTCATCCTTTTCATTTCCATCCTCATCTTCATCATCATTATCATCATCTCCATCCTCATCATCATTGTCATCTTCATCCTCATCATCTTCATCGTCACCATCCTCACCTTTACCTACATATCATCATCATTGTTATCATCAACGACAACATCAATATCATATGTGTGATAGAGAAAGAGAGAGACAGAGAGAGAGAGAGAAAGAGAGAGATGGAGAATTAGAGTGTGTGTGTTAGTGTGGGTGTATGTACGTGAATATATGTGCCCGTGTGTATATATTCATCTTTATAATAATGAAATTACTTTTAATGGAAAATAAATTCTGATGTATTAGGTCATCATAATAGAAGTCATTATCGTTTTAGGAACGCCCAGGAGTTTATCCAACGATAAATAGAAGAATTTGTCTTTGGTAAAAGATATATATTGTTGTGTGTATATATATATATATATATATATATATATATATATACATATTGTTGTATATATCAGTCATCTATGAAGTTACAAATAAGTGAATGAGTGAGTGAATGAGTATCACATGATGGGACCGTAAATATGCCAAGCTAACCTGCTCATTACATACTAAACACACAACATACACTATTATAAACACACAACATACACTATTATAAACACACAACATACACTATTATAAACACACAACATACACTATTATAAACACACAACATACACTATTATAAACACACAACATACACTATTATAAACACACAACATACACTATTATAAACACACAACATACACTATTATAAACACACAACATACACTATTATAAACACACAACATACACTATTATAAACACACAACATACACTATTATAAACACACAACATACACTATTATAAACACACAATATACACTATTATAAACACACAACATGCACTATTATAAACACACAACATATACTATTATAAACACACAACACAACACTATTATAAACACACAACATACTGTATTGTAAACACATAACATACATACAAAATTCACGCCACTTATACACTACATAAAAACCACACACACACACATGCACGTAGGCACACACACAAACACACCGTATAGGCACACATATAAACACACCATCACACATACACATAAACGTAACGTACACATACATACACATATACATACACGCACATATAAATACAAACACATCATACACGCACACTCCACATTTTAAATCAAAAAACACGGTGCACAAACCACATTCTACTACGACAATAAGTGTCATCAAGTACATTTTGCTCTATTCTTCTTTTTATATTATGTTTAAAAATGTATGCTGCACACACACACACGCACACAGACACACACACATATAGATATATATATTTTTTCACAAATAATTTTCATGGATATTTTATAATTCCATAAAATAAAAACTCCCAGCATAATGGATCCGATGAATGATTGTATCATTGTAGGTTGTACGGAAATATTTTTGGAATACATTTCATTGCAGGTAAGTTGTTTGTGGAACTTTTCATTACCTACAGACAGGTAATGCTTCTTCGAATATGTGCGCGTGTGTCTATCTATGTTTGTATGTGTCTATCTATGTTTGTTTGTGTCTATCTGTGTTTGTTTGTGTCTATCTGTGTTTGTTTGTGTCTATCTGTGTATGTATGTGTCTGTTTTTTTATGTATCCATCGGTATTTGTATGAATCCATGTTTGTATGTATCTATCTAAGTTTGTATGTGGTTGGAGACATATATTTAACGGGTTGTACTCAACAGGTTTTACTCAAAAACATTTCGTCAGATGTCAGAAGGATTGCAACAGGAGTACCTCAACCAAGGCTTAGTTTTAGGACCTATCTTATTTTGTTGTATACGTCAGAGATAAACGAAATAAAAACTCACAAGGATTCGTCTGCCATGAGTATGCTGATGACATACAGATGATAGCTACCGGTCGATCAGAGTCATTTCAAGACAAAATTGATAAACTATCTAAATGTTTGTTTTACATCCAATTTTGGATGCCGAGCAGCTCTTTGAAGTTGAATCTGGACATAAAACTCAACCGCTTCCAGTCGGTGCAGTCATCAAAGTTTGCCCCGTCGGTTGAAGATGACGAGTTCGATTTATCACTTGCTTCTACAGCGTTTAATCTCGATGGATGACTGGACAGCAGGCTTTCAATGGAAGAACAGATGAAGAAGTTATCAGTTGCAAGTATTGTACACCTCAGAAAGTTATACAAAATCCTATATAACTCAAACAGATCTGCATGTGAAGCAGTGGTCCGTTCATTTATTACATCCAAATAGGATTATTGCGGTGGTTTGAATTTTGAGTTAACTGAAAGACCAATCGTTACGTTCCAATCAATTCAAAATCGAGCTGCGAGGATTTTCATAAAAAAGCTAAAATTTGAACACGTGTTCGTATGTGTCTATCTATGTTTGTATGTGTCTATGTACTTATTGCATATGTTTAATTGTTAAAATGTTGCATTGTTTGTAGACAAAAGGATAATTTCTGTACATTTTCTTCCATTTTTGGTGCAACTGGATGAAAAGATAAAATCAATTTTCATTTCGAATAGAAGGTATTCAAAACTGAAATCACTTCCCATTATATTTTGCATACAATTGCTGTACGATTCATCTCGTCACTGTACATATATTGTATATTTTTTTTGCATTTTCGTACTGCTTAAATAAAAAAATAAATTTCATTTCCATGAAATATCATCGTTACTTTTATTGCCACTTTCTCTCAATTCAAACGTCGAATGTGTATTATTTCTCTTGAATGAACCATGCTCTGTAGTCTGTCTTCACGCAAACTCAAGTAATAAATTCTTTGTTCTTAAAGAAATTACCAAACCTTGCGATATGGAAATATATTTGTATCATCTTTCATTTCGTCCACACACATCCACTGTTGTTACATTCAGAAATGTTCATCGTTTTGTGTCTCAATCCAAGTGTTTCATCATTCGT